CCCGTTCTAAACAAACATGGGATGGTTGAAACATACATGCTGCAGCCGATCGTGGACGGGATGCCAAGAGCATCGTTTTGGGGAAAAGATGCTGTGAAGTTTAGCTCATTCCTTGATTTATAACACAGTTAATAAAGCCACTTCTCAAGAATTTCAGAGATTAAGGTGGCCAGTCTAATAACGGGGACAGGAAATGCTCGCAAGAGCTACCTGAGAGCTGTTCTAGTCACTCTAGCCTCTGTGGTCAGGAAGCCCCGCCCCCCGCAGGACTGAGTGACATCGTCACCCATGGTTGGAACATTCAGCTCCAACACCCAACCAGTTTGTTCAAGATTTTACCCCACCTTTCTGCCAGTGAGGGCCTCCAAGGCAGATAACAGATTAAAATATATAAAATTAAAACCTCTTCTTTAAAGCCATTAAAACCGGCACACGTACATCATCAAAACACTCTAGAAGAAGAGGAGGAAGAGCTTGGATTTATACCCAGCCCTTCACTCCCCAAAGGAGTCTCAGAGCGGCTTACAAACTCCTTTCCCTCCCCCTCCCCACGACAGAGACCCTGTGAGGTAGGTGGGGCTGAGAGAGCTCCGACAGAAACTGATATTTTTCAACAACAGCTCTTATCAGAACTACGGCTTGTCCAAGGTCATCCAGCCAGGCGCAAGTGGAGGAGTGGGGAATCAAACCTGGTTCTCCCAGATTCGAGTCCGCACACTTAACCACTACACCAGAGATTAACATAAATACAAAAGATTTTTTAAAATAACAGTTAAAACACTGGGGAGGAAGGAGGGATCACTGAGGGAATGCCAAGTGAAACAAACAAACAAAAAGGTCTTCACCGATGGTGAGGGGCAGTGTTCCCTCTAAGCTGAGTTAGTGTGAGCTAGCTCACAGGTTTTTAGCCTCCGGCTCACACAGTTTTGTCTTAACTCAGGAAGGATGGCTCCAGAGCAGACTAATTTATGCAGTAGCCAAATCACCCGCTCACAACTTTCATGCCAGTAGCTCACAAAGTAGAATTTTTGCTCACAAGACTCCACAGCTTAGAGGGAACATTGGTGAGGGGATATGGCAACAGAAGGGGGCCGGGGAATCTCCCTGGGGAGAGAGTTCTGGAGTTTTGGTGCCACTGCTGAGAAGGCCCTGTTCCGGGTTGCCACCTGACAAATCTCAGAAGGCGAGGGCACCCAACTCAGGGCCTCTGAGGAAGACCACAGTGGTCGGGTAGGTTCATAAGGGTGTCGAGCTCGATGTCTCGTTTGCTGTTTTGTTTGGGGAAATTCCAGAGAAGAAGAAGAAGAGGAGGAAGAGATTGGATTTATACCCCGCCCTTCACTACCAAAGGAGTCTCGGAGCAGCTTACAAACCCCTTTCCCTTCCCCTCCCCACAACAGACACCCTGTGAGGTAGGTGGGGCTGAGAGAGCTCTTGACCGAAACTGCTCTTTTTCAAGAACAGAGGAGGGGTGTGTGTGAATGTACGTGAGTGAGAATGGCTTTATTGTAGGGCAGTGCATCTCATGTGACATTTCTGAAGATACCTCCCTTTCCCAGGGATGATGGCCAGATGGCCTTAGTCTGTGTCTGTGCTTACCGCCTTAGCTTAGATACCGAAAGGGTGATTTACAGGTGTATTTGTGTGGGGGGTTGGAAGTGTGCTTGTTCGGCGGGAACGAATGGGCAGTGGGACTGGAGGGGACTAGATTTGAACCATGTATAATTGGGGAGGGGGCGGTTTTGAGCCAGAACCTCAGTTCTGACTCAACAACGTTCTTAGCTTGGAACATCTTTATTCTTCAAATAAACAAATCGCCTCCTGTGAGTGTTGCTGAGAGCAACTTTGTCCAAGAGTCTGACAAAGGGACTGGCCGGTCCTGGTTGTCTCTGATTGGCAGCTGATATATATTACAGGAGTTGCAGTTTTAATTTGTTGTCTATTAATTCATGTGTGTTCATATACAGTAAGCCACCTTGGGCACTGTGGAAATGAAAAATGGAACTATTTTAAATAAACACACAGCAACATCACAGATCTAATTTCTGGCCTTAAAAAAACAAATAACAGACTTATCCTAATACAACTAAATGTAAACGTTAAAAGTTCTAAAAGTTTGACACAGTTCATAAGAGGTACAAAGATGAAAAGTCTGGATGCAAAAAGCTAGTTGGAGGGTCTCCTCTCTTGGGGTTTTAGTCAGTAGTGGGTTCTTTACTTTCTCCTTTATATGTAGTTTTCCCCCTCCCTTTTTCTGTTGTAGTTTTTGCAGTGTTAAAAAAAAACCAATTAAAAAATCCCCTCCGGGAGCTCAAAAAACAAAACAAAACAGGCATATCCTTTTTTTCTCGAGGACCTGCCTTTCCTCCTTTAAAATGCTAATAACCAAACAGGGAGCCTGGTTAGCAATAGTGAAAACAAGATGTGATGGAAGGGTTAAGCCCAGCTCATCTGTTCTGGTATAGCCCCAAGGCCAACTGAGGCTGCCTGACCTTGCAATTTGCATTTTATAGATGGGAATTGCTGAGTGGTCTTCCTTTCTTCTGTTCAAGCTCTAAGGCATGCCAAACACCCAAGAACTCTCAAAATGCCCCCCTTCCCTTTGTGGCAAGTGGTCTGAAAGTAAAACCACTGATGGCAGAGGTCCTCTCTCAGGTGCGTGCAGTGAGTGCTGTGGACATGGTGGGGCTGGCTGAGTCAGACAGAAATGAGTCAACTGGCAACGCCCTAAGCTTATTAGAGGCTTGCTAAAGGGAAGTACACTTCGCTGGGATGACAAACCAGGCTGTTTTCTGTCTGAAAACTGTATTGTAGTCCTCAACGAGATGTCAATGGTTTGAATTTCATTTGAAAGCTGTAAAGGTTACCTGAAGGACAACACATACTCAAAACATCACTGTACTTTGCCAGGATTTAAATCCCCGTTTAGAGCCACAGGCAGATAAACAGATAAATCTGTAGCTTTCCAAAATGCCCAAGGTGGCGGCTCCTACCTGGTGGAAGGAGCTCCCGGAGGAGATCCGGGCCCTACGGGATCTTTCTCAGTTCCGCAGGGCCTGCAAGACGGAGCTCTTCCGCCAGGCCTTCGAGTTAGGAGCTGCCACCACTACTACTCCACTGCCATCTATGCACCGTTGCACCACCACCACGACTATCTGGTCCCTTTGGGGGGGTGAGGTGCCCCTGACAGAAAAAGGATGATTGATTTCGGGAAAGTTACCGTTGGGTTTAAGATCTAC